GCCACGGCACTCACTCTAGCCCGGGCAACACAGTGAGACTCTGTCTCAAAAAAAAAAAAAAAATTTGAGCTGAATGATAAAAACACAAAACATGTGGGATGCAACTAAGACAGTGTTTAGAGGAAAATTATAGTTGTAAATACATTTATTAGAAAAGAAAGATTTGAAATCAATGATCTAAGCTTCCAACTCAGTAAGCTAGAAAAAAAGTAGCAAATCAAACCTAATAAAAACAGAGAAAAACATGAAGGAGCAGGAACCTAAGAGACAAAGCAGATGCACAACAGAAAAAGTTCTCCTCCTCCTCCTCCTCACCTACAGCAGAGAAAACCAACAAAAACGAGTAAGCTGCAGTGACACGTGTCCACATGGATAAGCCTCAAAATCACAGAGTTGAGCAAAAAAAGAAAGTCACCAAAAATACTTACATGCGATTCAATTTATTAAAAGCTCAACAGGACGGCACTTTAGACAACAGGTAAAAGTGGAGAAACGCACACATCCTGCCGGGAGGCGAGAGAGACGCAATGGGAAGCCCAGGTGGGGCCCGCATCACCGTTGCTACTCCTGGCCTCGCTGACGTGCCGTCGTGCTTTGACACCCGTCACCACGCTGACGGCTCTTGAGCCGCGCTACCTGAGAGCCCTGGAATCAAGGCAGGACGGATTCCCGTGTCGCTCAGCTAACGCTGCTCCCACCACGGGCAGCTCAGGTTACCCAGACGACAGCACTTTATCATCACCTCTGCGTTTACCATTTGGACACTTACCCAGCTCCACAGGTAACATTCTGATAGGATTTCTTTCTAAAAGCAAAGTTTTCAAATGCCTTTAAAACAAAAACAAACAAACAAACAATTTAAAAAGCAGAAAATCAAACGACCACCCCCAAAATATGCCATCAGATTTCTTCCTTTTCCTCTTCTTGCAGGGGGCAATTTCTGGCACAATCGGCCATTGCACCGCCGGGCTGGCTTCCACCCTGCAGTAAAAACGCAGCGCAGAGCAGAAGCCAAGCACCAACAGCACAGGCACTTGCACACTTTAAAGAGATAATCGCTTTAAAATCTGGAAAAATAAACATACAACTTACTTGTGAGATCCAATCCCGGAGGGAAGCGCCTTAATTCTGTTATGTCGGAGGTCCAGCCAGGTGAGGTTCGGCAGCAACTGAAAGAAATCCTGAGGAATCAGGCACAGGGCGTTCCTTTGAAGATGCAATTGCTTCCACAGAGAAGAGAGAAGCAGAGAATGTTTTGTCAACCAACTAAATTTTAGAACATGACACATCCAAAAGGCATTTCTAAAAGATCTACCGCACTAATATTTTACCCTGAAAGAATTCAAATGGCAGCCGAGAGAATCAGAAGAAAAGAGCCGGGACTCCTTCGGGCAGCTCTCGGGGCTGGAGAGATGTTTTGCGCAGTTCCCACGCCACGACCGAGAGTGCTCTTCTCCATCAAATGTCCCCTGACACTAAACGTGACCCCCGGGCCCCACATTCAGTGTCCCAGCTCCTTCCCCAGCACCCACTGCAGGCTGGCGGGCAGCAGCCCAGGTCCCTGCCTGCTCAGTGAGCAAACAGCCAGAGCCACGTCTGGTCCTGCTCACCCTACGTCACTAAGACGTCTGCTGGGGTGTCATCTATGACAACAGCCACGCAAAAATGTTAACAGTCTCGGTGACCATCACTCGAGGAACAGTCTGATATATCAACTCAGGGCTATTTCTAAGTCACCATCATAAATAAGCAAAGACAGAAGAACTAAACGTGTACACACTGATTTTAGCCGTGTAAAATGTGTATGTGTATATATAACTTCACAGTCATGGTGTGGCACGATTATAGGTCATTTTAAAAATACCCTCATTAATGCTGTTGTTATATATGTTTACATTATGCCATGTATTTATATACATATATACACCTATATTTACTGAGGCCATAGAAACAGATGTTCAGGCCAGACAAGGTGGCTCACACCTATGATCCCAGTATTCTGGCAGGCTGAGGCGGGAGGACTGCTTGAGCTTAGGAGTTTGAGACCAGCCTGAGCAAGAGCGAGACCCCATCTCTACTAAAAATAGAAAAATTAGCTGGGCATCATGGTGTGCACCTGTGGGCCTGGCTGCTCGAGAGGCTGAGGCAGAAGGATCACTTGAGCCCAGGAGCGTGAGGTTGCTGTGAGCTAGGCTGACGCCACGGCACTCCACCCTGGGTGACAGAGCAAGACTCTGCCTCAGAAAAAGGAACAGATGTTCAGAGTACTGACCTTGAAGCCAGACTGCCTGGGTTCAAACCTAGGTTTTGAAACCTATTAGCTGTGAGACCTTGAGCAAGCTCCTGAACCAGTCTGTGCTCCAGAGTCCCTGGCTGCCAAGTGACCTCCCTCACAGGGCAGCACTCATTGGGCAGAGTGCAGCACACGGGAAAGGCATGTAAGCACCAGCTTCTTTATTAAACCTGAAGGATTTTACGCATCAAGGAGTAATAACATACATCGCACAACCTGCTGAATTTCTTACGCAGAGTTGGGGGCACTTGCTTCACTAAAAGTAACACACGGGCCGGGCGTGGTGGCTCACGCCTGTAATCCTAGCACTTTGGGAGGCCGAGGTGGGCGGATTGTTTGAGCTCAGGAGTTCGAGACCAGCCTGAGCAAGAGCGAGACCCCGTCTCTACTAAAAAAAATAGA